AAGCACGACATCTTTACCCATTATTTTTGTGCACAATCTTAAACATACTTGATATGAGCATTGAGAATATTTGATGTCTTATATGAAATCAATGGTAAATGCATTATTTTTTGTTCATTTCTATAAGCTAGACTAAGATCAACAAAATACACAAATAGAGAACATTTATACAGTTAATATGAAATCATTTCAACTCCAAAATGTAAACGCCAGTAATAGTTTGCAAAGTTGAGAGTGGAAAAATAAGAACCTGCAAAAATGGCAAAAAATCCCAAAACAGGATCATGATACTTCCCCTTTCTTTACTTCTACATCTCTCTAAATTAGAAAATTGTCCGTCTCTTCTTCACGCTTAATGAACATTCACTTCTTTCAAGATATAAATCTAAACAACAAAAGTTCCCAAAATTATAAATCTTACAGCATATTTTTAAGTACTACAAAATTAAACCATTGCTCTACTTAAAGAAAACCTTCGGGAGATGAGGCATAAAAATCTGCAGGCTTTCCCTTCAAATGATCTGACTTCCGACATGGAGTTCCTAGATCCATCTTCGCTTTATTGGTCTTCTTATAAGTTTTAGCATAGGAATAAGAAGAAATATCAGTCTCTTATGATAAACTTCATTTGGAAAAATAAAATTGAGAAAGGTAAAAATACCATGTTCGCAGAGATTCGAACATTTTGGATGCTTTCCTAATCAGAAATTGTATAATCAGAAATATCGCACCAAAAGGGAGGATTCAATAACGGAGGGAGGATCATTGACGTCTGACGGCGACGGCGGGGAGAAGAAGTATTAATCTCTTATGAAAAACTTCATTTGGAAAAATAAATTTGAAGGTAAAATTACCCTGTTCGCAGAGATTCGTGCATTTCAGATGCTTTCATCATCAGAAATTGCAGAATCAGAAATATCGCACCAAAAGGGAGGATTAAAATCGGATGGAGGATCAGTGAGCAAAAGCAAAAGAAAACACAGATAATCAAGAAAGTTGAACTGCGGAAGTTGAAATTGATACTAACCTGAATAAGATTTATCTTGAACTATAATGTTGTTGAGGAAATTGATGAAGAAGCAAGTGTTTGAACTCCGTACTGACTTGTAAATATTTCTTCAACTTGTATAAACTGAATTGGAAAGCAGTGTATAAACTTCAAATTTGTGGAAGCAGATCAACTGAAATCTTCTTGTGGAGAAGTTGAGTAATGTGGCCAAGAAGAGTGGCAAAGTGTATCAACGTGTCTGATGATGACCAACATGGCCAACTTGATTGTGGAAGTTTTGAGCATGGTAGATGGTTGTGGGGAATTGCTCAGCACAATAGATCAAATTTTGAATGTTGTAATTTTGAAAGAACCCAGTTCCACTCTTTCTTACAGTTATTCACTAATCACCATACATCTCAAAAATCTCTGATTGTAACTGCAAGCAGGATGAAGAAAATTCAAATAAAACAACAAAATAAAATAAAACACATAGAATCAAGAAGGATGAAGAAAATACCAGCAATAGCCAAAGAAAACACAGAGAATCAAGAAAGTTGAAATGCGGAAGTTGAAATGCAAGAAGAATCAAATTCACCGAATGCTTCTGATAATAATAATGCAAAGGGAACAAAACTGCACAAAATCAAACAAAACTAAACCACACAAAAAAGAACCCCCCAAAAGCACGGGCTGTCATTTTACTTGTAACACTCTCTGTTCTCTTTGTTATACGTATATATGTATAAATCATTAATCATATCCAATTTCTTAGGTATTTTTTTTGAAACAAACACATGATTAGAAATTTACCTCTATTGTCATACATATAAAAATTACCTCTATAGTCATAGAAGTTAAAAATAATAGACTCTTTTTGTAGCGTAATCTCTGAAATAAAGGATCATTCACAAGAGAAAAATAATCATCAATCAATTATTTTAAAAAAATTTGTAATAAAAGAAAGTAACAATTGTCTATACAATAAAATTCAAAACTTGTCATAAAATATTGACAAAGAGATTATTCATTATTGATAAGGATACCAACCAATAAATTACGTTAAATTTCAAATAAATGCCTAGTGCTAGATTAATGACTTCAGTCTGCTACTCTAGCTACACATAAAACTAATACATTATAGCAAAGCAAATTAAAAGATAGACTTGTGAATTTAGCCTAGATTTTGAAATAATTTATACCAATTTCACTTCTAAGGCTTTCTTGACATGAATAATCGTCTCTAATCCAGGTATAGACACCGGTACTTGTATTAGTACCCGTGATCAGCAAACAAATACATATACGATAATTATAATGTCTGATACATATCCAGTCCATTTGCACATTAAAGTAAGAATTTGACATTAAAGTAAGAATTAAACTTCATTACACTAACTTTCTACATGCAAGTCTGCTGAGTTCAGGGCAAACCTCATCAGATAACTTTGCAGTAGTGGCCAATCCATTCTCAAATCTCTTGGTGAGGTCGCGAACAGAGAGGCGATGTTGCTGCTCCACCAGTTGCACAGTTTCTTTACCAACAATCTCCTTATAAGGGAAGGCACTTTAGATTGAACTTCTAGATCAATAATCACATTATTTCCTCCGATTTTATAGTTTGTGAATCGATTTGATAGAAAATCCACATTTGATGACACAGATCGAATAAAAGCCTCTTTGTGAAATGTATTGCCAAAACCACGAGTTGTCTTCGTCATCAAACTGATATTAAGTGCCGTTTTCTGCCATCATAATTTACAGTTAGTTTTATGGTTAATTTTACAGTCAATGTACCATTACTAAGGAACGCCAAGAGAACTAATAAAAATTATGTCCATAATTTACAACAAAAAAGCACAACCTTTCGGTCAATCCCATCAAAAATTGCTTTACTAAAAAACGTTTTAAGATAAAAATAATTTTGAAATTTACAGTAGAAAATTTTACCCATAAATCAAAAAACAATTAAAAATGATAACTTGATCACAGAAATACATAAATTATTGAAATTGTTGGAAACCCAAGTAAATTAACCAAGAAAAATAAAAAAATTGCAATAATCCAAAAACGATGAAATTTACAGTCGAAAACCTTACCCAAAAATTAGAAGCAATAAAAAAACGAAAGCTTGATGATATCAAATACATCAAAAATAAAATATGTGGAAGCCCGAGAAAATTATCCAAGGAAAATAGAGCAAAATCAAAACTTTACAGCATAAAATGGAGTCATCAACCACAAAAACAATAAATTTTCATGCATTTCATCAAACTTAGTGGACTAAAGCATATTTTTAAGATCAAATATAAAAACTTTGTCATAGAAACTTTCGCTATAAATCAACAACAAATAAAAATAATAATTTGATGACAGAAAACATATTAAAAAACTAAAATTGGTCGAATCATAGGAAATTACCACGAAACAACCGGCAAAATCAAAACTTTACAATATCGAAGGAAGTAACCAAACAAAAACACAGAAACTATCAGAAATTGCTCAACTGATACTCATTATTGAACGAAACATAATGAAGTGTACAATGGAAACTTTACCCATAAATAAAAAACAACTAAAAGACGTAACAAACTGAAATTGATGGTACCCAGAAACAAAAAAACACCTCTTAAATCAAGTAGAATTACTATTGTTTAGAAATGGGCTGTTTGTTAATTTTACCTCAAGATCCTTTAGTTTGCTTGGAGAGAAGAGAGCATGAAATAATGAGAGAGAAGTTTTTTGGAGGCGGAGCAAAGGAAAGAGAAGAGAGGGAGGCTTTCTTTGCTTGCTTCAGCGCTGATTCCAGAGTCGCTGCGGCGGCGGTCGGAGACGGAAACGGCGGCGATCGGAGATGGGATAAAAAGGTGGGATCTTTACAGCGAGAGAGAGGGCAGAGATCTGGATATTTTCACCTTTGTTCCCCTTTTTCTTTTTGCAGTTCGAAAGAAGAAGAGAAGAGACATCGTGGGAGAGTGGAGGGAGACATCGTGGAGTGGAGAGTGGAATGATAGGAAAATGGACGGTTATGAGAAAATGATAGGAAAATACGTGGATATTTTAGTCGTGGGAGTTTAAGAACCATAATTAGCAGTTAATATGAAGATTTATTTTACTGTTCATTCTTATTGTTCTCCTTTAGTAATAAAGAAGTAGATAAAGGCAAAAACGCGGTGCAGGGAAACCTCGTGCTGGGTGCAGCGGAGGGGGTCAGCTCCCGGAGGAAGCGACTAGCACCTGCAAGTGGGGTCCCATCAGTAGGCAGCCGAAAGAAGAAGAGGACTGCAAGAAAACGAAACGCCACCACTATATATATATTTTGCCCTTTTCGTGATTCCAGCCCCCGCACCGGGTATATACTTTTTGTTGGGCTGGGTCCATGCAAAAAAAAAAAAAACCCTAACGCCCGCGCTGAATCTCTTAACACGTCACCTACAATCCCAACCGTTTCACCTGATTCTCTCGCAAACTAAACCCCCCCGGGGTTCGTGGGCCCGCA